TGGACGGACGGAACGAAAGAAGCGGCAGCAGAGCGCAGCAGCTTGCAGCGTGTGCAGAGAGTGAGAAGAGGCAAGCGGAAAGAGAAAAAAAGAGTTGGCTCGAGCAGCAGCCAGCCGCAAAGACACGCGCGTGGTCCACCGGCACTATAGCCGAGTCTCGTTGACTGACTGACTGACTGACCGAGCCACCAAGCGAGCATCAGCAGGAGCAGCAGTCAGGAAGCGCATTCCCAATTTTGCATCAACGTTGGCAGCGTGTCTCCGTCTCTGTCAGTCTGTCAGTCTGCCTGTCTGTCTGCTGCTTTCGGTCGCTGTCGCACTTTCTCCGACAGCTTTCATCTCGAAGAGTGTTGCGCATCCTTCTGCCAAAGCTTAATCGCAAGCTCTGCATGCCGCATCCCTCTCACCTTCCTGCTCTACCATCACCCTTGTCGCTCATACCTCGAAAGCCATTCGGACTGCGTGAGCATCGCGCCCTACGGCCTACAGTATAGCGTCGTTGCCGGCCGTTCACTGCACCCAGCACGCCGATCTGGTCAAACCCCCACTCGCCTGCAGCCGTCTGCATCCACCCTCACAAGCTTGCATTCGGGCGTCACAACCTCGCACAATCATCCAAGCGCTTCATCACCTGTCTTGCAGCAGATCCGTAACAAAGGGCAGGACGCACAAACGCTCATCGCGCGTTCCGACTGCCAAGCCGACTACATCCAATCACGTACCGTTCTACTAATGTTGGTTCGCAACATCGTCTGATCCCAGCTCTTCCGGATCACACTGGAAACGCTCAGCCCCTCGACCCTACGTCGCGTTTCTCTCCGCCCTTGGCTACAGGACGCCTGGCATCCGCGCGTCTGTGCCCGTGCCGACAGCGTACGAGCGAACAGAAAGGGGTCGGATACTGGAGCTCATCAGTGTCTTACAACTTGATTGCACCACACCTCGATTCAAGCTCCTATTTACCTGACCCTCGAGATAATATCAGAAAGCACATCGCTTGCTGCGACATGCATCCTCGCCAGCCCAGCGGTCCCGGTTCCACCGACGCGATGGAGATCTACGATCGTCTTCACACACCTAAATACGAGCTCGAAATGTCCGACGCCACTGTCGGCGCAGTGCCATCCATCCCCGGCGCCGCCGACCCACATCAGCAGCTCATCAGCGTTCCGGAGGACTCGCAACTCGACACGCAGCACCTCGCATCCACAACCCCTTCTCCTCTCGCCAGCTCGTCACAAGCTGCCACACACGAGAGTCCGAGCTCACGGCGTCTCGACAAGCTTGCTACCTCGTCATATGGTCTCGTTCAACCAGGTGGTCGCCCCGATCCATCTTCGCGCCGCAATTCCGACATCTCGAAACCGCTTCCCGGTCTACCACCTGCCCCGACTAACGCAGAACAAACCTTCCTACCGGCAACAGCCAATGGCGGCGGTACTGCCTCGGCCTCGCCCCTTCCTTCTTCGGCTATGGCCAGCTCCGTGGATCCTCGCGCATCAGCGGTAGACAACATGCCACCACAGCATATTCCACGGCCACTCGACGGCTCGAGCGCATTCTCAGCTGCACGTACACCCCCCAAACAGACCTTGCACGGCGCTATCCCCCCTAGCGTAGAACCACTTCACATGCCCCAATCCATCTCGGTCGGCCCTTTCTCCCCACCCGAATCCGATCCGCACCGCTCCATGATCGACAGCAACCGCAGCAGCATCGACGATATCCGCCGCAACCATGCTGCCAGAGCCGCCAAGCGTCAATCGCACAACCCATCTCCCGTCGACCCGCATCTCAGCAACGGTCTCGTTGCGGACCCTGCTCTCACACCCATCCGCGCACACACCCAGTACCAGAGCGAAGCCGCATCCTCTCCCGACTCAACACAACGTCATCGAAGAGGCACGGCATCCGAACCGCCTCGCCCTGTCAGCGTCCTCGAGACACGCGCCGCGCAGATCGAAGCCATTCAACGTCGTCAGCAAGGCTCACGCATCGACGATGGCAGCAGCGACACCTTTGACGCCACAGACACCTTGGGCTCTTCCCGCGACACTCACGTCGATCGCACCTCGCAGCAGCATTTGCACCTTCGTGCTGCTCGAGAGCAAGAGCTCGAGCGGGAACGTCTGCAACAGCAACAACAGCAGCAGCAGCAGCTTCGAGAGCAACAACGCGAGAAGGAGCAGCAGCGTCAGCGTGAGCGCGAAAAGCTCAAGGAGAGGGAACGCGAAAAGGAACGCGAGCGTGAGAGGGAAAAGGAGCGCGGCGACCGAGACCGCGATCGCGATCGCGAACGACGCAGTCGACGCCTGCTAGGCGACTACGCCTTGGGCAAGACCCTCGGCGCCGGAAGCATGGGAAAAGTCAAGCTTGGCGTCAAGATGGGCAACGGCGAAAAGGTCGCCATTAAGATCATTCCCAGACACACCTCTATGGCTGCAGCTCAATCACCGCGCGCCACCGTCGACGAGAATGGCAAGCCTCAGCCGCCACCACCGCCGCCCACCGCCTCCTTCCTTGCCAAAGCAGCCGCCAAGGACCAGTCCAAGGAGATCCGTACCATCCGCGAAGGCTCGCTCCAGATTCTGCTTCATCATCCGTACGTCTGCGGCATGCGCGAGATGATGATCCACACCAATCACTACTACATGGTCTTTGAATACGTCAACGGCGGTCAGATGCTCGACTACATCATCAGTCACGGCCGCCTTCGAGAGCGAAGCGCGCGCAAGTTTGCCCGCCAGATCGGCAGCGCCCTCGAGTACTGTCATCGCAACAGCATCGTCCATCGTGATCTCAAGATTGAGAACATCCTCATCTCCAAGACCGGTAACATCAAGATCATCGACTTTGGACTCAGCAACCTCTTTTCACCTCACTCGCACCTCTCCACCTTTTGCGGATCGCTCTACTTTGCGGCGCCCGAGCTGCTCAACGCAAAGGTCTATACCGGCCCCGAAGTAGACGTCTGGTCGTTCGGTATTGTGCTGTACGTGCTTGTGTGCGGCAAGGTACCTTTCGACGACCAGAGCATGCCTGCACTGCATGCCAAGATCAAGCGTGGACAGGTCGAATACCCTGCTTGGCTCAGCGGCGAGTGCAAGCATCTCCTCTCGCGGATGCTGGTCACCAATCCTGCCAATCGCGCCACACTTGCCGAAGTTTTGGCGCACCCTTGGATGGTGAAAGGCTATGACGGTGTGCCTGATCCTCACCTGCCTGATCGCACACCGCTTCGTCCGCACAACATTGATCAGGAGGTGGTCAAGGGCATGACCGGTTTCGAGTTCGGAACTCCCGAAGCCATCACCGCCAAGCTGATGGAGGTGCTCACCAGCGAAGCCTATCAGGCCTCACTGCATAATTGGGAGCTCAAGAATCTGCCCGCCAGCCTTGCAGGCCTCAGCACCGTCGGCAGCAGTGGCTCATCGCTCGACTCGAACGGCCTGCAAAGGCCATCGACGCGCGGCAGTATCTCTGCCGCCAGTGGCTCTGACACGGTCAAGTCCAAGACAGGCTCACGGCGCTTCTCAGGCATCGATTTCTATAGGAAGAAGCTCACCACCAACCCGCTCGCGGCTGCGTTTGGCGGCAAAGACGACTCGATGGCCTCCGCCAACGGAGGCTCCAATGGACTTGGCTCAGGTACAGGTCTGATGCCATTCGGCAAGGAGCCTTTGGACCCAACACGTGGCTTCCACCCACTTATCTCGATCTACTTTCTCGTCAAGGAGAAGATGGATCGTGAGCGACTGTATGGCCACTCGTTCTTCGCCTCGTCCAATCTCTCGCTCAACGGTCCTCCTGTTGCGTCTGCAGGTGCAGGTTCGGGTGCAGGCACAGGCGCAAGAGCCGCTGCGGCCGGAGCCATGCCTACTGCTGCCGACATTCCACAGGAAGCGCTTCGCGTGCCCGAGGCGCCGCACGTATCCCACCGTGCGTACGATCCTTCTCGCCAGGAAGCAGCGCTGGCCGCGCCTACACCTCCTCGTCCAGTCGCGGCGGCCGGTTCGATGTCTGCGTCGCCCACGCCCGTGTTCGAGTCGCGCGAAAAGTCGAGACCTACGGGTATCATGGCTGGACCACCTCGTGCTCGCGCCAACGCAGACGAGATGGAAGCCGCGCTGCGCGAAAAAGGCCTGCCGTCGCCGATCGACGCAGGCTTCGCCCCGAGCATCGGCGGGGTGGTCCCCGTTCCAGCAGCCAGCACTGTCGGCAAGCGACAGTCATTCTCAGCAATGGCACCGAACGCCGAGGTCGTCGCGCCTCAGAATCATCGTCATTCCATGATGGTGCCGGACACTTCGATGGCGATGGCCAACAATCACAAGAGGAGCGTCAGCCTGACAGCGCGTCGTCCCTCTGGTGCAGCTTTGGCCGGTCGAGCGCCCAATGCTGCCATCGCGGAAGATGGGGTGCCGGACGCTGCCCGCGCCGACACGAGGAGGATGTCGACCATGTCTCCGACTCGCGCAGACAAGCGAGCGTCGTACATTGCTACGCCTTTCAAATCGGAAGCAGGACCCGCAGAGCCGTCGTCAGTTCCAGCATCGGGCGCCTCGAACAACAACAGCACTTCGTTGGGCTATGGAGCGACGTTGGCTCGCCGCTTCAGCTCGTTCATGGGTCGATCGCCGTCTCAGCCTCTGGACGCCGAGGCTAGAGAGCGAAAGAAGCAGAGTAGGATGAGCATGCCGATGGGCGGTATGCCGCAGCAGCAGCAGCCGCAGCAGCGTCGAGGTAGCGCGCGCATGCCTCTCAGCGAGGTGGATGAGGCCGACAACGGCACGGACGTCGATCCATACGACTACGACGATGCAGAAGAGAACCTCGCCATGCACGATGACGATGTACCTCTCAGCAGCGGCACCACGGTGCGCCGTTCAGGAACGTTGGGCGACATGCCGCCTTCGCGAGCCAACACGCGCGTGCGCGAAACCTCGATGGGCGCTGTGTCTGTAGGTCGCGCTGCCGGGTTGTCGATGTCGCCCAAGTCTTCGGCTGCTGCCAAGTCGAGCGGACGACCGAGCACCGGCATGTCGATGTCGACGAGCGCGCCGCTCAACATGTTCGAGGCCGCGGGAGCGTCCGGGCGGAAGGACGACTCGGCTGCGCAGCACATCAGCCCGAGCAATTCTGGAAGCGGATGGATGGGCCCCACCACACCTGGGCAGGCGGAGGTTCTTCCAACCCTCACCACTCGTCGACGATTCGGAGGATTCGGCGGATCGGGTGAGCAGCAGAATGGCGTATCGGCTAGCGAGGGTGGGTCGAAGCCCATCTTCCTGAAAGGACTGTTCAGTGTGCAGACGACTTCGACCAAGCCGCGCACTGTAATCCACGCTTCGTTGGTCAAGGTGCTGGACCGGATCGGGATCCAGTATCGAGAGCTTCGCGGTGGATACGAGTGCGTGCATCTGCCGAGTCTGGACTTTTCGGGCTCGGACTCGATGGGCAGAGGCAACGCTCGAATCCCGCTTGACACGATGGCGGCAGCGGCGGCGGCGGAGGCCGAGGTAGCAGGTGATCCTTCTCCCACTTCGGAAGACCATGGACGTCAACCGAAACGCAAGCCGAGTCGACTGTCGTTTGTGGCGGGAAAGAGCAAGGACAAGGATCGTGCCAACCGCAGGGAGGGATCTGTAGCGGACAGCATCGGTGCGATCGTTGGAGCAGGAGGCACAGTGCGAAGTCGAACGCCGTCATTGACCAGCAGCGCCGCCTTTGCCAATGCGGAATCGACGACATCTCCGACGCTTCCGCCCAAGACGCCGTCGAAACCGTCGCTGTTGACCATGTCGCCGAGACAGCGTGCCGATTCAATGGGCGCTGCTTCGGTGCTGGGCCCATCTGGATCGCGCGATTCGAACCTAATGCTCGACACGGCTGTTGCTGCTGGGCAGGGTGTCGACGCAGCTACGCTCTCGCCGGGAGGCGGGATGGTGGCTGCCAGGACGATGAACGCCTCGCAAGCGACCGAGTTGGCAGTACGCTTCGAGATCTTTGTCGTCAAAGTTCCGCTGTTGCTGGGTGTCAATGGATTGCAGTTTAGGCGGGTGGGTGGAAATCCTTGGCAGTATCAGATGTTGGCGAAGCGTATTCTGCAGGAGCTCAAGCTTTGAACGAGACCTGGTTGGGATGTCTCGAGCTTTTCGAGGGATGGAATGTCTCTAGCCTTTTGTCGTGTTTGCATTGCAAAACAGTCGTATGATGTACTTGGTGAACGTAGTGAAAGTGTGTGGTGTGGATGTGAGTTTTGATGAGGAAGACCGCGCGGTGAATAAACCGGATAAGGGGATTTTGTGTGGGGAATTTGGTGAGAGGCGGTGCTCGAGCTAGGCTGCAGGTGCGCAGCGGATTGCGGCGATTTCCGGGGTTCCTCGGCTGTGTGACTCGTGGTATCATGTTGTTCCGTCTTGACCATCATCTAGCTAGGCACGAGCAGATTGGAGCCTCGATCATTCCAGAACAAACATCACAGGTAACAAGCGTCGGACCTTTCTCGAACAAGAGTCGCAATCGAAAGCCCCAGGTGGCGCTGGGTCACATGTCACGAGCAACACACTTCAGAACGTCCTAGCGAGGAATTTCCGACAACGAGCCGGTCAGGGACCCGCATCACGCAGTCCAGCACAGCGACCGCAGCGAAGGCACATATCTGTCATGCTGCCACGCATAGCTGGCAAGCATGGGCGCGCCGCCTCAGGCCTTTCTGGAAAGACTGTTCGGACACCAGCCTTGACAGGCTCAGTACGAAGTGCGTCCTTATACACACCAACGCACCGCCCTCCACCACCCGCATCGATATCCACAACAACCTCGCCGCGAACCTTCCCATGGCACCATCCCCCTATCGCACCGACAGCAGCACAACTCCATCAGACCCGCAGCTCGTCCTCCTCGTCCTCCTCTAGCGCCCACACGCGCGGTTCCTACCACTCTCCCACCTCGTCCACCCAAACCCTCCTCACCGACATCCCCACCATCAGCCCGCGCTCTTTAGTCAAACACCTCGATTCGTACGTTGTCGGACAGACCCGCGCCAAAAAGGTGCTCGCCGTCGGGGTGTGGAACCACTACCTGCGGGTGGCGAGCAACCAACGTATGCGCGAGGAAGCCGAACATCACCAGCAGCAGCAGCAAGAAGAACTGAAAGAAGAAGAAGAACCAGTAAAAGATGTGGAGATGCAGGTGATGCAAGGTGCCGGATTGTCGGAGGGCACTTCGCGGACGTTGAGGTTGGGCAAGTACGCGGATGAAACGGCGGCGGTGAAGGAGGGGTGGAGATCGCAACGGAGGATCGAGCAGGAGAGGGAGGCGGAGCGCGTGAGGGATCCGCACGGCGAAGCAACGAGGAGCTTGATGTTCGGGAGGGGCGAGAGGGAGTGGTTGGTCAACGCCGGTGGTTCGGCGGCGATCGTGGAGGACAACGGGGAAGCAGCTGCTCAACAGCAAGCTGGGATCGCGCCCAAATTCGGTGACGATCTGATCGGCGGCAAGAGGGTTTCCGCAAAGACGCCGGCGGAAGAAGCGGCGTCGCAGTTGGAACAGCAGAGGAAATGGTCTTCGAAAGGGGAAGAGAGTGCGCTGGCGGAAGCTGCGAGTAGACTGCACGATGCTGTGTTGGCGGATTACACGCCGGGAAGTGGGAGGGAGGAGGAAAAGGCGGCGAAGATCGGTGTTTTGGGGGCAGACGAGGAGGCGCCGCTGTACTTCTCGAGCAATACCGTTCGGGGTGCACGGAAGACGAGCGGTAGGGTAGCGGCGGATGAGGTGACGGAGAAAAAGTGGGAGTCGCCACAGGAACGAGCGGCCCACGCAGCTGGGTTGGCAGAGGAGCGAACGCGGAGGGCCTTACGCATCGCGAAAGAACGACTCTCGTCAATCAGCAGCACCAGCGATAGCCCCGCTTCCACACCACCAACCCCCGCCGCTTCACCCGCAGCCTCTCTCAACCCGTCCTTCCTCTCCTCCACGCCCGGCACACTACCCTTCTTCGAAAAATCCAACATCCTCCTCCTCGGACCCTCCGGATCCGGCAAAACGCTACTCCTTCGCACCCTCGCCCAGGCGCTCGATGTACCCTTCGTGCACGTCGACGCTACGCCGCTGACCATGGCGGGATACATGGGGGAGGACGTCGAGTCGATCATACAGAGGTTGCTGGTGGAAGCCGGGTGGGATGTGGAGCGCGCGCAGAGGGGGATTGTGTGCATTGACGAGATTGATAAACTGAGGAAGACGGGGAAGGGAGCGAGTGGGACGGGGGGGAAGGATGTGGGTGGGGAGGGGGTGCAGCAGGCGTTGTTGAGGATGTTGGAGGGGACGACGATACAGGTTGCCAACAAGGGTGGGGCGACAGCGGCGGCAGCGGGCATGGGGGGTGGGAGTGGAACGGTGGCGACGGCGACGGCGACGAGCAAGGCGGCCAAGACGATGCCGGCGGGGAACGCGGATGCGAACGGTGCTGCTGATGGTGCCAGCAGCCTTGGCCCGTGGTACAACCATCGTCGAGCACGAACAGACTCCTCAGCGGGGAAATGGACTTCGACGACCACGCAGTCGTCCAACCAACCGAGCAGCTTCAACGTCGACACGAGCTCCATCCTCTTCGTCCTCTCCGGCGCCTTTGTCGGCATCGAAGATGTCATCCGCACCCGCCTCCAACCTCCTCCCCCTCCCCCCTCCGTCACCGGCAACACGCCTTCTCCACCACCAGCAGCAGCTAACGACAACCCCTCATGGCAGCTGACGCAAACCGACCTGCTATCACGACTCGAACCCACCGATCTCGAATCATACGGTATGATTCCGGAATTTATCGGTCGGGTACCCGTCTCGGTCGTGCTCAACCCGCTGACGCACCAGGACCTCGTCCGAGTCATGACCGAGCCGCGCAACTCGCTGGTGGACCAGTACACGAGTCTGTTCAAGCTCAACGGGATCGAGCTGCACATCTCGGCGGGGGCGGTGGAGGCGGTTGTGGATCGAGCGATGGGCACCAGCCCGGCTGGACAGGGCAAAAGTGGAGGAGGAGGGGCGAGGAGTTTGCGGCGCATCATGGAGGAGGTGTTGCTGGATGCGTTTTACGAGAGTTACGGGAGCAGCAGTGTCAAGTACATCCTGGTGGATGGGGAGGGGGTGAGGGAGGGGAGGGTGG